TACCTGTGTACTATGATATTAAACTGTGGGCACCAACAGCAGACACACCATTACAAATCGATGGTCTAGATGAGGTAAGTGTTACGGGATACCTGCGCACTGATAATAAACTATGGGCACAATGTTGTTTGGGTACCTGTGGTATTACTTACGGTACGACTTGCTATTTGACGTTTATTTTTTCAATAGATCATCAAGAGGAATGAACAGATGTTAGAGGAGAGCAGAGATACGATAACAGTTCCAGCTTCTTTTATGTTACGAATGCTAGCTTCATTAAACCACGCTAGATTTGGTAAGACATAATATGGCTATCAGTAGTAGAATATTTCGTGTGGCTGTGAAAAACTCACGCTATAGACGTGCCGTGCCGTGACCTGTACGTTGCCGTGACGCATTCTTATTGGATGAAAAGTAACCTCGCTCGCTGTGATTAAATCGTACCGTAACCGTTACCTCATATGGGTTTTCCAGTCATAAGAAATCTGCTTTATCGAGTAATTACTGACATTCTGTTAAAACTATAGTAGATCTTTGAGCAAACTCAGTGAAATACTAGTATTCAAAAATCTACAATCACCTTGTTCCACTTTATCGCTTCAATATACCATCAAGAAAGAGGCTCAACTTGCCTGCTTTATGGAACAAGTGTTCTTGTAATAAAATATCACGTGTCATTTTAGTTTTTAACGCCTCGAACTAAAAAGAAAAGATAAATGTCAACTTTATTTAGGCAGGGTTGCTCTTTCAGCCACTTGGCTGATATCCATAGGGGGCATGCGATTTTAACGTATCGCCGAAAAAGGAATGTCAAAGTAAGAATGGCACACAAACGGTGATGCATCTTCAACACTTATTACTTGCTATTCACATCTTCTTTTCTCTTTTATTTGTAGCTCGAAATCAAGAAGATTCTGATACCGATTCAACTGACGAAGCATGATAAAACCTAAATCTACTGGAAAATAAATATAGTTTTATGGAAACGCGAAGAAAAGAACATATTATAACGGTTCAGTGAATAATTATATTCTAATGAAAATGCTCGCTCTAATTGCCTAATTGTCTACTATACTTCGACGATACGGCGATCATCTTACCAGGAGGGAAAACAAAACAAAGATGACGGAAAATACATAGAGTTTCGTATGTTGTTTTTCATTATGGATAAAGGTGATCGATGTGTCGTCTTAATTCATTTTTTGTTGTATTCTCTTGTGATGAGCTGTTAATATCAATCGACGTCATTACTGCAACACAGATTTATTTGCCCCCTGGACGCCCCATAATGTCTTGCAATCCAAGATGGCCGCCGTATCGTCGAAGTAGTTCATTAACATAATGGACCATCCATAGATCCATGAAAGAGGCCCAGGGGGTCAGGTCCCTGTTTCTTTGCTTCGTATTTTATTGTTATAAGTTATCCGCAGTTATTAATAAAATTATAAAATACGATACGATCATAAAAGTTTAGTATCTGGGTCCCATAATAATAGAATCGCATTTTTCTCATCTCATGTAAAGGATATATAGAATACAATATATCTATGTTTTAGCCATTGGCGCTGATATTGCTGAGCAAAGTATTTTTAAGGCTCGAAAAATATACATTAGTATGTTTTTTAAACTATCGTTTGAAAAATAATTTTAGTGCTAAAATATATTAAAACACTTATGAAAAATAAAAAAGAACTACCTACTTGCTTTGGATGTCGTTATTTCTTTTGTGTTTTATCTTCATTACTTCAGCAATGTCGTAAACGATTAGGCAATGAATCTTGCCAGATATTCTCTACTGCCAACAAAAAACGTAAATCTATTTACACCAGTTTTAAAAAGAAAAGGAATTGTTAGTAAAGAAAGAATAATGTACAAGGAATGTAGTTGTTTGGTTACCTGAAAAATGGAACATGAACTTGAATTTGTTTCGCATGGCGTCCTCCTTCCTGTTTTATGCACGAATAATGTAAAATAAAATGAATAACTTACCATAAAGTACAAATGCAATAACGCTAAAGGAAATATCTAAGATACGACACCTTTAGAAAAAAAAAAAGCTGTTAGAAAAACTCTTTTGAACGTTTGCTATCGAATCATGAAGCTGACTGGCTTCCCAAGGTATTTTGGCGGGAAAACGCACGGACGCTTCCGCGCGCGTCAATTTAATGACTTCCATGTTAAAGCCGTTTGACAAGATGACATGGATTATCCTGATGCTATGATTGGTTAGAAAAGAAGGCAATTATATCATATGCATTACTTCATTTAATAGACTCTTCAATATTTTGTCCAGCTCAGCTGCTACTAAATGACTTCCCAAGAGATCGTTTTAGCGGGAAACCAGACGCGCGCGGTTGATACTCCTAAATCAGGTGAATGGATACTCCTAAATCAGGTGAA